CCCAGCTACCATTGCCCAGAGTTGTCCTGCTGAATCAACCAATCAAAGGCGAGCATGCTTTGAGTCTTCCTAAGTTTGGAATGGCAAGCGGGGGGGGGTTTTGGGGGGGGAAATGGGGCTCTTTAGGGAGACTGATTATTGTAGGGACTCAAGGCAGGAAACTAGTTGTGACACGGGGAAAATGCTCGGCTGAAGGACTGCATTACATCGGTAATCGGTTTGTCGGGACATGCTGACATGTTTGGCCCAGTATGCCCAGTACCCAAGGGGGTGATGTCGTTTTGCACATGTCATCCCACAGTTGCCAAAAACACTTGGAACTTCTTTGACCAGTCACCACTCATACAAAGCCAAGGCTATTTGGGCTTTGTCCAGTCAGGTTTTGGCCTTTTCACTGTGTGAATATTCATCAGAGTTTGTGTGTACACGGAGATGTACATGTACTCTGAATATAATCACAGCCTGTCAGTAGTCAGACAGTGTAAATATTCATGAGTTGCTTGCATCTAGTCACATGCAAGCACTGGCATACATACTTGGTATCCATGCATTGTAAATACATATTCAAGAGGAATGCTTAAGCTGTTAGGTACCACTGCCAGTATGGATGAGAGACAGTGTCCATTCTTTCAGAATTTTGTTGGTCAAGCATCAATTGTATGAGAAATAAACAATTATTAATCTGAAAACTTTATGACTAATTTGTCAGAAGGACTAATTGAATTAATGACTAACAGATGTTGTATGAGATTGCTGAAGTCACCAGTAATGAATTCGTGAGAAGTTCAATGGCCAGTGAAAGTGGCCGAATATCTTTCTTGTCATGCTGTTTTGCTAGTAGCTGAAATTTTTGATGAGCAGACAAAAGTGGAGGAAAAACAGAAACTTAAGCAATGTTAAACAGGTGTTCTCCCCTCAAACTCATGATAAAGGAAAAACAGGGAGTCATGTGCAATGGAAACTACAGTACCACATCAGTTACTTGATGTGATGGTTGTGTATTAACCACATCCTGCCAGGGGCATTTATAAATATTGATTCTGCTGGGCCAGAGTATTTTTCATTTTCTTCTATTTTCAAAATTCTTTGAAAAGGCATATCTTCATTTACTGGGCACTTACACCCACACAAAGGACTGTCTGGTTTCTACTCTCACAGACAACATCTATTGATGCCGGAATATTTCAGCCAGGCCTGCCGCCTCATAAAAAGAGCCCAGATTCTGCGGTTTTACGTAATTTTCTTTTGTTCCCAAAACTGGCCAGATTAGCGTGCAGCAGTACTGTTCGGCTCATTGCTGTGGTGATGGAGCGCTTTTGCCTCCGGTGGTGGAGCGCTTTTGTCTCCGATGGTAATCTGCTCGTACGGAATGCCCCAAACAGCGGTATACTGTTTCAAAAAAATGCTGGACTATCTCCGCTATTGACAGTGAAAAAAATGTTGGTAATTCCCAGCAGCCTGGTCTTTTGTTACGAGTACAGTCTTTTGTTACAAGGCCCAGTTCCCTTTGTCCGATTTCGGGCACCCCAGCTGTGCACATAAAGAATATGTGTCCGAAACCGGGCTTCCCGGCAGCAAGTGGTTAAGGTCCTCCACATGTTTTACCTTGAAACCTTTTTGCTGTGGATGTCACACACTGAGATAAGAATGTACCAGAGCTCACTTTTGTACCTGTTTTGTGGTTATCGATTGCTCTGAACAATCACAAGAAATCCTGTAACCTCACTGACCTGTGGAGTTTGAGTTTTTCCCCACAGTGAGCTTTTGTTTCCCCAGAGTTAACTGCAACTAGCCCAATAATTCCAATATTAGAATTGCCCAGGTTTTAGTGACAGATACTCTCTGGAACCTAACAGGCTTTTAACTTTACGTTTAATTACTTTCTTGCAGAAAGTTACCTACATAGTGCATACCCTGTTACATCTGTATTGCATTATGGACCATGTGCCAATCCAACAAGTACTCAGAGTATCCTGTCTGTATAAATTACATGTATAGCTCTATCTCCAGCCCCCCAACAAACGTTCGTCTCTCTCTTGTAGCTTTGCGATGTTAACGACAGCTTAATCGTGCCTCATGATGAGAAGTGATGGCTTGTGGCCAGTTATGCACAGCCCTTCAATTATTTTCGTCCATTCCATCAAACATTCAGCTTCAAGGATGGCCGTCCCCGCGGACCAGTCATTGGATGTGATGCGCACCTTCCTGCGAAGGTTGCTTCATCGCGGAAAATGCACAGTACATCTAAATTATTCAAGACTGCTGCAAGGATACCTTAGATTCCCCATCCCCTTTTGAATTCAATTTTCTCCTTGTGGACTGTTAGGTGATTACGTTAGCATTTCCTTTGAATCCTGAAACCAAGGTTTCCACAGGATTGTAATTGTTGTGGCAAGGTTTTGGGGCCTCCCAAAAATTAATCAGAAATAGTTCCATCCATTGACATGGTATGAATTGAGTAAAGAATTCCTGGATAAATTTAATTGAATTCAGGTATTTCAGATATGGGCGTTTCACTATGGCAACACTATTCAGACTTAAATGTGACTTTGTGGAAGAAACGTGTTCATGCAGAGTTGCATTGTTCATTGCATCTGCCAGTATTGTTGAGGTCAACAATCACAGAATGGATCCAGTACTCCAAATTTTGTCATGGTGAGACGGGTACCCTCATATTTTTCTCAAGTAAAAGTAAATATGCTGTTTTCAGGTACACATACAGGCAGTTACCCTTCTGAATGCAAGGGTTGAGCAAGTTAAGGGCAAAATTCTGCCGTCGAGCTTAGCAAACAGCAGAGTTTTGTGAGAAAAGAAAATCCTGCTCCGCCCAGGCTTCAGTTAATGTGCATGTTTGCAAGCTGTATTGATGTGCAGGTACACGAATGTGGACACTGCACCACAGCGGAGGCATTGCAGATTTCTGCAGCTGTGTTTGCATTGAAACACTTTCAGCTGACCAGCAACTCTATCTTTGATTGTCTTGGACTTCAATTTTCTCATGTGCATGCCCTCTGTCAGGTTTCGCAGCTTTGTGTTTACCATGGTGCAATAGAATAGATCTTATTCGTAATGGTCATCTTCGAGGTAATAAATCTTTGTTACCACCGGACAGGCCCGGGAAAACATTGATTTGAATGAGAAATATATATATAAAGATTGATGTGTATAAAGATTGCCAGTACCAATATAGTCAGTTTGATTGCCTATTATAGAGGCTTTTCAGGGTAGCCATCTTGCAGGGCAGTTCTTTTGTTCCACAGGGAACTTTCCTTTGTGCACACCCTGTGGAACAAAACATTGACCTGCAAGATGGCATTCATGCAAACCCTCTACACCCTGTCAACAGAGCACTCTTTAAATCAGCATCACAGCTCAAATTCCTGAAAAAAGCCATGCTTTTTATATTAAATACACTTCACTTTAACCTTTTTCAGTGATGATATAAAATGTGTTTATTTGGTTGTTATTTGATTTCGAGATGTACATGTAATGCATGAGAAGCCACTTCAGTGTACCAAAACAGGGATGTCAGAATAGGAAATTGAAGCATACAAATGGATGAGAGTAGGTGGCAGCGAGTCTCAGTTCTAATTGTCAGGCTTACTCATTGCTCCCGAAGCTTTGGGGTTGTAGTATGTTCTCTGGTGCAGCCTTGGAATATCCTGTCATGTGTATCTGTGACTAGGGTCTCTACAACACTTGGTGAACATGTATCCTTTGATTTTTATTTTTTTTTTAGTATTTTGGAAGAATTGGGTCAGTCAGTGGCATATATGTGACCCGTCATGACAAAATGAGAGTAAAGTCACATCCCGCTCTTTCCTTTGTTAGAGTTCTAAGTCATATTGAAGCCACGGTCAGTTAATGGTTTTATATTTGGAAAGAGTAACCCATCTCTTATGTATTTCATAGGATCATATATTTTAAAATGTCTTTTTCTCAGCAATTTCGACGATATAGTTATTCTTGCTTGGTCAGAAATGTTGAAATAACGTCGGGAACAAAGACGTAAGAATAATGTTACATTGTCACTGTGTACTTTTACTCTGTGTTCCATGTACATACCAAGGGAAAGCTCTCTTTCTGCTGAGTTGCATACCAATATTTCAATAGTTGAAAATTCCGAGTTTCAGCCCATTTTGTGGCGACAGGTCACATTTAAGCATTAGTTGAAAGGGGGGGTGGAAATTTTATCTGAAAACAATTCAATTTTATTTCAGCCATTAAAGTATTTTCTCCCAGGAAGATAGTTGTACCATTTGTGAAGTGTTGGCACTCTCAATTCATGAAACAAAGTCGATATACCTCTCTTGTATACCACTTTAGCCAGCACAAAATTTGAAAGAGCCCGTCAAATCCATCACTTGCCCGTTTTCAAAACCCTATTAAAGATTTTTCATTCCCGTTAGTTTATTATTTGACAAATTATTTAATTCCCTGTGTAATCTGGGAAAGCAATATTCCCTCTGAGACTCCGGTGCCCGGAAAGGAGCATAGTCTTCCACAGAAGCAATTAGCCGAAGAGCGGACGGTGGTCGTGCCAGTTGCATTACAGAAACACTGGCCGTCAAGACAGCAGGGATTGTTAATTTGAAAATTATGATAGTGGCTCGTGCCAGATGATGAAAATAATAAACCAGTACCCATATTTTCCAATTTGGAGACAGAAAAATTTCTATGGACTGGCACCGAAGAAGGCATTCTAGACTTACGTTTACTTGATTGTGTCATTGTTTTCCGCACAGATGACCCCATCCCCATTTTTGTCTTAGGTGTTGGCACTCACATCTACTTTTCAGCAACCTTGGGTCCACATTTATGCATGTGTACATGTATATGCAAATGAGTTACTGTCATGCTTATGAATAATGCAAGGTGCAAATTGGAAGGCGGTCCAGTGTAACCACACATGGGGATGTTAAGTAATTGCCCCAATTGTAATTTCCCAAATTGTGGTTCCAAAGTTCATGAATTTGTTCCCTTTTTTCTAAATTGTGCAGAGAACGAGCACCAGAATGGGACGATAAGCTCCCTGGCCACCAGCAGTGAGGTGCTACAGAAGCCAGTCTCCACACAGCCCACGCAGTCCCCAATGCAGCCGCCCCTCCAGCAGAGCTCCTGCTGCTTGGTGTGCGGGGACAAGTCCTCAGGGTTCCACTATGGCGTGCTGGCCTGTGAGGGCTGCAAGGTAAAGGCTTTAGGAGCCTTTATGTGCTAACCCACCTTATATACCTAGTGTGGACTTGTGAGCAGAAGATGTCCACACAATGCAGGAAGGGAAGACGTTCTGTGGACTTAGCTATGTTCACAGGAAGTTTCCCCTTTTCTGACATGAAGATCAGAGGCATTTGGGGGTTAAGGTTCTCAGTTGGAAATGGAAGTAGAACAGTCAAGGAAGCATTTTACAAACCTCCGGCTGAAAATTGTGTTCCGGGTTCAAGAAAAATGAGTATTTTCACCGAGTTTTGGTAACTGCATGAAAAAAAAACTGGAATGTCCACATTAGGTACCATAAACCTGGGTGTGATGTAGTGTGTGCAGCGTTCAATGTTTAGATACTTGATGCTAGAGGATGCGTCAACACGATCTGGCCATCTGTATACATAGGCACAGCTTACCTGTACCTCCCAGCAAACTAATCACCCACTTGTTTTGTACACACACAAAATGTGATAAGTCTGTGGTGGGTTTGTGTGTTGCACTCAGCTGCTGTGCACAGATTATTGGGGTAGCAAAAGATATGAGGTTGAAGCAAGAAATATTATGCTGATACTGTTCAGATGACTCTTGCAAACCAATATTTGTATCACTTGGCTGTATATCAAAAGCTGGCCTCTCCGTCTTGCCTTTCTCACAAATTAAAATTTTCACCCCTAATAATACCATCGGTGTGCGGTTAAAGGAGAACAGTCTTAATCTAGTTTAGTTAGAATGCCAAAAGAAATGTGTTACCATGAAATTGTTGCTTATTCTGATAGGGACACCCGTTGGTCCTACCAGAGGGCAGCCCATATTTATCAGGAACACTGCAAATAACATAAGGAACTTAGTACAGTGTCCCATAAAGGACATTTCAAGTGGAACAGGAATGTTTCGAGATCCGAGACGTTCCCAAGCATATTTTTCCTGAATGTTTTAAAGGGAAATAATCCAATTTCCAGAGAAAAAATCGGGCATTTGAGGAATTTCAGGCCTCTGTTATTCCAACTGTTTGGTTTATGTAGTTTTAGGCACCTCTCTGCTTATTCACGGATCAAGAAGGTACATTTGTTCATAATTCATTAATCACAGCATAATTACTTAGTCATTTACATTCTGTACAGTTTGTCACATTAGATGGTTTCAATATGCCTGCGCAACATTGTTTGTATGCTCCATCTGACGTTTGGTGAAACCAAAGTGTTGGCTGAGCAGTTGAATGTTTCGCCTTTTTTGGGAGGTTGTAACATTTACCAAACCACTGTCACCAAACAGCAACCCTTGACCAACTTTATATACAATCGGATCAGTTGCAGAGAAAAACATGTTGAATTGCCTTGTTTAAAAAAAAAAAATGGCTCACAAAACATGCATCGAGCTTAAGCTGGCTACTTTTATGTTGAATCTACCAGCATGAGCCCTGGAAAAGGTACATGCATGCTGAAACGGCGCACTATTTCCAGTTTGGAATCTTGAGAGTTTATCTTGCGTAGCTCAGTCAGATGACGCATCATTCCATTGTCCCAACCTTAGTGTAAGTTAGTACTCATTTGGAGTACCCGGTCAACACAGATTTAATTGGCACTTCAAGGGATTGCTATCATACTTGCCGTTGTACCACTTTATATTTGGGTCTAAGTGTATTTTGGGACTCAGTTGAAAAGGATTAGACCACTGTGCCCCTCACGCAAGGCTTTTTCAACACTCTTTTTATTTGGAAAGCCATCATTGCGTACATGTACATTTTCCTGCACGCAATTATCCATGTCTTCTTGTTTGCACGCAGTACCACATAGATACAAATGCTCTGTCAGAAGCTTTGTCAGTGAACTCATTGTTACCGGCGCACAAATCATGCCGTGTCAGAGAAATGTGAAAAACTGTGGAGCCTTTGTGCAGAAGAAATGCCATTCTTCCCCACTGATGCAAACCTCTTCCTTTTGTGCACTGCGGAAAAAAAAAATGGCTTCTTTATTGTGGCCTGGCAGGGGCACGTTGTACTGTGAATTACCACTATTAACATTCGCAGTTACTACCCTTGAGCACTTTTGGTGTGATGGTCACAGAATCCACATCGGCTGAGTGCCTCGAACCTGGCACTATACACACGCATCAAGCAAAAATAGTACACTGAGAGGTTGGTACCTATACACGTCACCTGAAGTGTGTGCAACAATTGCGTACATCCTGCATGCGTGACAACCCAGGCAGAAGAACATATACGATCAGCCCATGTGCCAATAACGAGAAGTCGTCGTCAGTTTTTGTACCAGGCATTGTTTTTGTAATGCAGTGGGGTTTTTTTCTTTATCTTTTTTTAACCAGGGCTTTTTCCGGAGAAGCAGCAAGCGCGAAAAAGAGTACACGTGTCGCCACGGCAACGGCCACTGCACAATAGGCCGCATGAACAGAAACCGCTGTCAGCACTGCCGCTTCAAGAAATGCCTGGCTGTGGGGATGTCAAGAGAAGGTAACTGTAAGAGTAAGCCCTTTTATTTTTCTCCCCGTTCTGTCCTTGTTCTTTTTGTGCCGAGACTTCCTTTCTTTGTTGTCATGTCTTTGTTCATTCCCCTCCCCCATTCCCTCCCTCATCATTCCTGTTCATATGCGTTTATAGGCAAAACAATATCTTCTTCATGTCACATAGCAGCGATGTAGCCTTGGCCGAGATTCGGTCCTAAATGAAATAATCCCTCCCCCTTAATCAGTGTGAGGTGACCTTTTGAACACACTAGCTTTTTCACAGTAGCCATTTGCTACTGTCTGTTCACTTAGAAGTTGTCATTCACCCGTGCATGTTCTAGTGTTACATGGTTTAAATTGTATGTGCATGTGTTTTTGTCCTCAGTGGCTTTGTTCAATAGTCGTCAACATTCTTTGTGTATCTCCTTTGCAAAAAATAACGTTGTTCCATTCCACGTATATGTTTACAAGCTATTTTTCCAAATGTGGATATACTCAGAAAAGGGATTAGCAATTTTGTCTGTGGTTCCTTGTCAGAAAAAAAATGCACACTGTTCTACACGTTCAGGGTCTCTGGCATTCACATAATTTGCCCCTGTGACGGTGTGTGAATTGTCCTGAGGAACTTCACTCCATTGTAACTCTGAGCCAACTCATCCAGGCATCCCCAAATTCCACAAGCACACAACTGGTGTGCTATGAAATTTCGCTCCCAATGAAACCTGGGCTCTTTTTTTCTTACATGCATGTGGATTAAAGTCTGTGTCCCTGTCAGTTGTCAGCTATCTGAGGTACAGTCTTTGAGTCCTCATTTCATGGAGCCCCAAATTTCATAATGCAGCTGTGGAAATACTCCCAAGTGACTTTGTGCTTGTTGTTAACCCATGCCTGGCTTTGGTGTCTCACAGTCTGCATTCACTTACCAGGATCGGTTTTCTTTTTTGGAGTTTTTACTCAAACAGCGAGAGCGACCCAACCATGCAAAATGATTCACAAGCGACCAGAGCTGCTTTTTATTTAAAAGTGCGGGCATTTTAAAAAAATCTTGTATTATGGACGTCTGCACCTCAGATATCTAAATAAAACCTTGACAAGGCATGTTGCATTCACTTTGTACATTACATGCAAAAAGTCAAGCCCATATTGTGCTCATTCAATCATGTTCTTGTCCTTTTAATGACAGGCAGATCTGTATGTGTGAGTGGTCATGTTTACATGTCATATTAATCTGCGCACAGTAGAAGTGGGCATCACTTTCATGACGACACGTCCAGTCTACATCCTGGACAAAATAGTTGGAACACCTCATAGGATGCGCAGTGAAAAGATGCCCCCTCTCCCCCGTTCAATGTCTCGGTCATTTATTGGAGTAAGATTCGGCCCAACTTAACCAATGAGAAACAACACTGACGGGGTCAGGGGGGAGGCATGTTCCAACGAGATCTGTCCAGGATTGTAGCTAGGTTTCATTTAGAAGTCTGTCATCCGTTCTGTCAGCTTTTTATAAACACATGTACACAACCTTCAACTTCATCAAGGTGTCAGAGTCAAGATAGAAATTACAAGCTGGTTAGGCTCTCTAGGATACAAATGGAAAATGATCATGTGAAAAAATGTTTAAAACACTCATTTCATTAAATTCAGTCACAAATTTCAAAGTTTCTTGAGAGTGTCTTAATTCATCCTTGAAAAATACCTTCTGGCAAAAGTAGCCACAGAGTACTTCAGTGTGGTCTCCAGTTCTGTAGGCTAACTAACATTAAGTCATGAAGTGCTTTGTCTCAGATAGGAGCATGCGTAGACGTCATGGTTCAATGAACTTTTTTCTGAGCGAGCTAAGTTGCCTTTTTTCCTTCTCTGATATACCCCACAAAAACAGCTGTTAGGTACGGTCGGGTCCCGCAACGCACAAAGGTCAAAGGCAACTCGGGCGCAACGTCAACCCGGAAGAAGAGCACGGACTCTGAGTATGGAGTCAGCGACAGCGACGACATTCCACACTTGCCCCAGCCGCCCGTGAACGGGCAGACGACCTACGACCTCGCCACCATCCCGCCGGGGGCCGACACGCTGGGCCTGAAGCAGGCCGAGATGTTTGAGCTGGTCAGAACGGTGTCCTATGCCTACCGCATGACCTGCATGTACACACCCAATAATGCACCATACCTCCGAGATTTCTCTTTCCCTCAGGTGAGAAACCTTGTATGTCCCTGAGCCAGACAGTTCACTCAAATCAGTAAGATGTAAATTCTGAATTTTGAGAGTACTCTTCACCAATGTAATTTTAAAAGCAGTAGACAAGTAGACTAATGCTGTCCAAGATTATGTGACTCGGGCTTGGATTCAAACTGCAACCTTTGTATTTTACAGATGTCATAACCATTGAACAACATCCGCATCAGTGAGCAGGGGGGTGTTGAGTCCCTTAAAGTTTCACTCACAGACTCTCACACAACACTGAGTATACAGTTCTTATGAAATTACACAGGTGAAGAATAAAAGCCACTGTTTGCAGTTTCATCAATAATTGTATCCACGCAACATGTCATCACAGGCTTTTTATATGTTTTGAGCAAGATAGTTTATTTCAATGAGTTGCTTTCTACTCACCCCATTTAGGACAACTGCCATATCTCAACGAGTAATGGCGACAGCATGGACCTCATGGGCCGGCGGACGTGGCTCCAGGTGGCTGAGCTCCTGGACCAGGCGGTCAGTGGCCAGGTGGAGTTTGCCAAGGCTATCCCCGGCTTTCGCAATCTCTCCCAGGATGACCAGCTCCTGCTGCTGAAGGCCAGCTTCTTTGAGCTCTGGGTCTTGCGGGTGGCACCGCTGGTCCTGGCCGTTGGACCACTTGTCAACGGCTTTCTGTCCCCGCCAGGCAGCGGGATGGGGGCTCCGGGCCCGCAGCAGGCCCTGGCCGGAGGCAGTCCAGCCGGCAGCTCCCTGCTCTGGCAGCAGCTGTACCAGCTGCTGTCTCAGGACCTGTTTGCGATGATGTCCACCTTCGCGCATGAGATCAACCAGCTGTGCCTGCTGGAGACGGAAGTGTCACTGTTTGCTGCATCCCTGCTCACAGCCAGAGGTTGGTTTGTTTGGCTCAGTCTTTTTTCATAGTGTGTTGGTTGGTTGCTAGTTGGGTTGCCAGTTGCCTTACCATAACAGGGCAAGTTCAAAGGAACAAGCATTCTTTAAGCACTGGTCAATTTGGCCTGGTACCCAGGATATGTTTTTGTGTACGAGTTACCAGGGAAACTTGTATGAGTGGTTGACAAATGGATGTCGCTCAAACTTGAGCTGGTAAGTCAGCTAGTTGGTTAGTGGATGTGCTGGTTTCCCGAGCTTGTTTCCTGGGTAGTCAACTTGAAAATATTAGTTGGTCAGCTGACTGGTCAGTTGGTTTAAAGGTCAGCTTGCTTGCCCAGTTAGTTGATACTGGCCAGGCAGCTTACTGGCTGGCTCCCTGCCGCATAGATGTGTTGACTGATCAGTTGATGGGCTAGTTGACAGACTTCCCTCGCTTGTTGAACGGTCTATCACAAGTCATTCGATCGTAAGCCAATTCACAAGCTGTGCAAATGAACTGTGACAGAAGCATTCTTTTGTCATTGTGCTGCCCGTTACTTATGACTGGTCTTGTGAAGAGACTTGTGACCGGTCTTGTCATGAACTGGACTACCACACTTGTAGCTGGCTGCAGGGGTTGAGATAATTTTCTTCAAGCCATGAGTACAGTACCCACTTCCTTGCTCGGAGTAGAGTAAAGTACTCTTTTGCCCTCGGTTTTGTTTCATGTTGTACCCTGCTTCTTCATGAGAGGGAGAGTACTGTACTCCCTTAGAGGCGGAGGAACTGAGTACCAATATTATGTGAGTTAGTCCTTTTGCCTTAGTTAATGTAATAATACTTGTTACTTCTCTTGAAAAATACAGTAAACAAACAGCGCTTAGCGATAACCATGAACTCATGAAACCATAGACAAAATCACATAAGTCCATATCCGCTAATGTACGGCGTCCCTTTAAGGCTACCACAAGCAGACGCCATGTTGGCCGGCCGCAGTGTGTACACACCCGGCAGTGGCCATTCAGAAAATCACGGTACACTTCTTTGATCAGCAGTCAAATGTGCTCACACTCACGATCTAACCCTCAATCTTTCTAAGGTGTTTTGGACTCAAATTTTCTAAAAAGGATACCTTGTTTCTTGCAGACATACCAGAAAGCCTCTAATATGCAAAAATACCCGTGTTTAGCGGATCAAAACTTTTTTCACGGAACTTTCAATGAGGAATTTGGGCAACTTAGACCCTAGTCATTTTTACCATATCTTGTCTTCGGGGAGTCTGGTGACCACATTTGTGTACACAAAGTAATCCATGCACACAGCTCGTGCGCAGTAGCCTATTTTGGTCTACAATTCGTTTCACCTTGGGCGTATCTTTCCCGCCGATTCAGGATTTTTTTGAATAATTTATCATGTACAGAGAGGTGAGAAAAGCTGTACTCAGATGAACATGAACAAATTGGCTTCAATAGGGTCCGCTATGAATATTACTCTTGTTGAGCAGGGCGTAACTGACGAAACATGAAAAATTACAGAAACTTATGGTACTCTTTCTATAGTAGTAGAAATCACTGCATATTTTACATTCTGCATGAGGTTTAATGCTGCATTTTTGGACTAAATTTCCAAGTTGGGAATTGTATATACACCAATACGCACCTTATCTAAACCCCTGTGGCTGCCAGGTTAACTTGCCGACTAGCCAATGAAGTGATCAGTCATGCGTGTCAGTGTGCTACTTCCAGGCATGCTTCCCTCAAGGCATATCAGCTGGCAAATGTTAGGGCTGTGAAGTTGCAGAAGTTGGACATGTATCTTTAGTAAGTTTTGTCAGCATGATTTTCTGGACAGCTTTTGAACTGATTGTGAAGTGGCGCCATGAAATAAGGCCCAGGTTTTTATCAACAATACCTGAGGTAGTGAAAAGAAGAAAATATTTTTTTCTTGTCTCTGGGTTCTTTGCAGATATACCAGGCCTGGCCAACCCAACGTTGGTAGCAGAGCTCCAGGACCAGCTCTTTGAGGCGCTGCGGCTGCAAGTTGAAGGAAACCACCCCCCAAGCAGCCCACCCTTCATCAGCTCACTGGTCAACAAGGTGCACGTCCTGCGCCGCATTGGCGCCATGCACCGAGACTACGTCATCGGCTGCGCCCAGCGCTGGCCCGACTTGTGCACCAGTTTACCCGCCCTCTACGCCGAGATGATGGACATAAGCATGCAGTGACAGACGACAATGTGCGAGGCGGGTTAAAAAAATTGCTTTTTGTTTTTCAAAGTGGCATTCTTGCAAACAGTGTCCTGGCGTTTGTCTTTTACGGGAGTCTGAGATGTATAAACAGGCAATCACAGAAGAGAAAAATGTCGTAAGTTGCCCAAGAGTATCAGGTGTTTGGTCCTAAAAATGTGATTCTATGTTGTGTAGCATCGACTGATTGGAGATAACAATCTGGACAATATCTGTCATAGAAAATTACCGTGTTTTCCCTGTTTTCAAACTGTGGCTAATACAAGCATTGTCAAAAATTGCAGAAAAAAGTCAAGGGTTACGAGCAACGAGGTTGTTTTTATCTGTCCCAGTTTTCTACTGGTGGAATTGATAGCTTTTGTCATGGGCCAATCAATCACTTCTTGGTGCATTTTCCCCCAGGAATGTTTGCAAGAATGACTGGAATGGTATAAAAAGCGGCTGAGGAAGCATATCGTATCGGGGAAAAAAGCATTTCCAGTCCTGTTGTGGAAGTGTCATGGTTGTGATGGTGTTTTTTTCACAATTTTGTCCGTCCGCACGTGGAATGTTGTGCGGGGGATAAAAAAAAAAAGTATAAATGTATCATTACGGCAGGGATTTTATTATATGTGAATAATTACTAGTCACTGTTTTCTGAAGAAAGCAGTGATGTAGACTAGGGGTATAGTAGACATAAATGTATGGGACTGCTGTGTGTAGACTATACTGGAAAACTTGTTCCTGTGTTAGTGGACGTGAAAGCATCCACGGGTCAAATGTGCCATGGAGTTTAGCCACCTTGAGTCTTGCTCCCCAAATTGCCAAGAAGAAATACTGTCCAATCCGAAGGGTTGAGGGTACCAGCCTACAGTCTAGGGATGGGGGGGTGTCCAATTCTCAGATTTATATCCGTTTCAGACGTCATTCCTGACAAGCAAACAGTTGGCATACCAAAATGTTTGAAATATTAGAAAATACTTCCATTTTGGGGGTGGATGACATACAGCTCGATCTTTCTCCAGCAGAACAGGACTCTTCCTTTTTTTGTCTTTTTTTTTCTTGAGCTCAAATCAGCTCAAATCTCAGATAGTCAAGGGGTTGAAAGTCTGGAGACTGTGACAGCTGAGATTTGGAACCTTGTTACCCTTTTCTGAACTTGAAGCCGTCACAACTGCTGTTTGCACACAAACACTTTACACGCATCTCATTAGTAGGCCATTCAGTGCCTTCAATGATTCTTGCGTTCTCTGAGGCCATGCAGTAGCTAGAATATCTTTTCACCGGGAAAGGAGACCATTTTGGGGGAGGAATAGAAATGTGAAATTTGAGCCTATGCCATGAGTGCTTTGATTCAATCTGCTTCTCGCTACCATTGCGTCATACATGTATTTATACATACAGGCTAGGAATAGATTGTGGCTGGGTCCAAATTGTGCTCCTTGTGGATAGGGTTTTGGATTTGCCAATAGTGTGCCATGCTGAACAGCCATAGCCCCAGACATCAAACCCTGCTTTGGGCACTGCCAGAAGCAGTCACTCTCCAAATTTCAAACTAGGCTGTTACCCACTTATTGAAAGTTGTATTTCATGATGATGGCAATATGACAAAGCAGGTCCAAGACAAGTTAGATTTAAATGTATGTGTACACTGTCACCATCAGAAACCAGGCAGTATTAAGAAAAAGATAGACAAGAATTTACTCTCTGAGTGACAAGTAGAAGGGACTGCATTCAGATGCTTCCTTTTAATTTCAAACAGATGTCTTAGGGCCACTGGTGATTTCTACATGTATGTGATTTTCGTTCCCTTGGCCAATCGCAGGTGGTCACAGATGGGCACAGAGAAGTTTGGCTGTCCACTGCATGCATGGCTTGTTGAGGGCGCCGTGTACTGAGACAAAGAGCATTGTGCATGAGGGCAACTTCGTGTTAAATGGAAAATACTTCAGTGTTTTTTGTTTGTTTGTTTTTCCTGGAGTTGCAATGGCTTACAAGTTTGGTTCCCAGATGCTCGTCAGTCCCTGTCCCTCATGCTACACATTGCTCTTTATCATCAGCCTATTCCATACACTTAAGGGGTTGCAACTTCAGATCTGAAGCCATTTGTTTTCCCAAGGAGGGCAACCCCGTGGGACTTTTTGAATCATATTTACGCAGGAAACAGTCAGTTGTCCAAGTTGATCAGTCTTTGCCATTTTTAGATCAGTGAGTGCAACCCCCACGCACAAGAACCAACCATTTGGGGAACGAAATGGCGTCACACCCGAACTCAGATCACAACTCTCTAGAGCGTTATATTCAGTCCACAGAGATGACATTAATCAACTTTGAAAAACCTTGAAACTTTGAAAATCAGATCACTGCCGTGACAACCATAGCCACTGAATTGCTGAAAGTTGGCTGATCCCGACATGGCTTCAACCACTCATAAAGGACATTATGCATCTTGTACATACAGTTAAACATATAAAGGCACCAATGTAAAATTAGATCCTTGCACAGTATCTTGAGCTCAAAGCAAAACTGACTAACTTTTTTTAAATTTTTGTCTTGAATGCTAACATTTCTCTGAAATAAGGTTTTCCCTTCTTTGCATTTTTATTTTTTGAAATCGTAGGAGTATAAATTTAGGGGTATGTAAATGAAATACATAAGCATCTGCAATAAGTTTTGTGTTCATTTTTTTTTACTTTTTTAAAGATTTTTAGCACTTCCTTCTGTATATACAACCAACTATCCTACGTGTTCACTGCAAAATACATGTAGATCCCAAATCACTTCAGATTGTCAACTTTTGTGTTTGTTGAAAAGTCACATTTGAGTACCTGGCCAGTGTTGTAACGAGTCACTAAATTTGATGACTCAAGTCGAGTCATTTTAACATTGTCACTTGAGTCAAGTCATCATTAGGTCAAGACTTGAGTCGAGTCACTGTGTAGTTGAGTCAAGTCTTATAAGCTTGTACTTGAGTCGAGCCTCCATGAGAGATTTGAGTCAAGTTGAGTAATTTGGTCACACAGACTCAAATCAATTCGAGTCATTTATCTGTCAGGAGTCGAGTCGCCAACAAGTGTGACTCAAGTCGGACTCGAGTCATTGGCTCAAGTCATTACAACTGGGTACCTAGCCACCTTCAACTTCGCGTCTCTGAAATAAAATGAAACTTTTACTAAATGACAGTTTGCATCTGTCTGAAAACGATTGCTTCAAAAGCTCTCAAAAAAATCCTATTTTTTGCCAAACATGTCAGTACTTCTTTTATTACTCTAAACCAGGGCTTCTGCTAAACTTTTCCAAAGCCAAGTTTGCCATCTTCATGTCCACATATCACTAGTCATGTCCTCATGCTTGAAATTCACTTTATGCAGAATAAATTTTATTAGAGAGTAAATTTTCTGGACAATCTGTGATGTTGACGATAAGTTTTGGGTGTTTTTGTTTTTGTGCATAGTTTTTGTTTTATACTTTCCATCCCCAAACAGACCAACTTTTCCCACTTTGTAATTCCACTGTGTGGTCCAAGTTTGGTATACTTTAATACCTTTCGGGAATGCAGTTCCCATAGTAGCCGAGTGATCTTAAAATGTGTCACATTTTAAACCAAATAGAAATGAAAACTTTATTCTCATTTTTGTGCCATAATATCCTGGCTGAGTGGGTTTGTATTGCCCAGTTCCCATTTTTTTTTAATTTTATTTTATAAAGGAATTGAAAACACAAAGCAAAAAGCTGATCATTGTGTCTAGTTTATGAAATTATTACCACCGAGCAATGAACGCAAATTATGAATTCTTTGGCTGTGTCGTTACAGGTCCAACTTCATGGCACAAAAGCAGCTTGGGTTGTAACTTAATTTTTTTGCACTAAGCAAGTGTTTTAATTGTGTAGCGAATTTGTGTCCTTTGCAGCTCTTTCTACATTGGCTCTTAGTGCTCCTTTGACATCTACCGGCACTGAGGAGCCAGTTTCACAAAATGAGCCAGTTCGCCATATGGTTACAGAGATTAGGCCAACCTCACGTGCATACATACAGCTGTCCCTTGAAAGAAATGTGTGCACCTGCAGGTGCCCCCCCCCCGGACATAATAGCCCTAGTTACACCACTGTTTCTGAAGGATTTCCGTTGGGCTTCATTTTGGGGTATGCACTATTGGAATGGCAAACTGGCTCATTTGAGCACAAAGCACAGAAAATAGCTGCTTACCAAGAGCAAGATACCAGCTAACATGCTGTACACAGTATACTTAGTGAGACCGGTCCCCTGCCAGTTTTTTGCTGAGCACATAAATTTGCTCCCCAACATTTCGCACTAATAAGCAGCTCTTTGAAACCAGTTCACAACTTTTTTGCAACATTCTGTTGAGATAATAGACCATGTGTGGACATCGTTACTATGTGTAGATGACTTCCTTAGCCTCATTTCCTTGTGTAGTGTGTGTATCTCGTCTGGGCACAAGCGCGAATGCTCGCTCTTGTCATCAGACATCACGAAACCAGTATGCTGAAATAACAAATGGATTTGTAGTGTGCAGTGTCACGCATGTATAGTGTTTGGAGTTGCACTTTATAGTCTGTTTAGTGTAAAAAGACAAAAAAAAAAAACGGAAAACCAAGGATTAACTTTTTATATCACGTCTGGTGATTTTTTTTTCCTTTTGTCTCTGTAAGTCTCGAAAGGTTGGTGATATTTTGTGATTACAAGATGCCCTTAATTGCTCATGGTTTATCTGGTAGTTTCTTTCTAAAATAATTGGTTTCCGTCAGTTGATGCTCCCTGCTTAGAATTGAAAACATCTTGGTAGAGAAAGCACTTGTACGATGCAGCCTGAACATCGTTTAAAAGGTTTCAATGTGTTTATGGGACTTGCTCACATTTTCAACGCTACTGTGTGGATCAGTTATACTCCGTTATGGACCTGTTTATTTCACATGGTTCCAAATCTCGACCAGTGATCCATTGACGGTTCACTGACACCAGAACCTGCCTAATGGATGGCGCTAACCCGCATTGGAACCACTGATCAACATCCAGATCCATGTGAAACAGAGAGGGTCTGCATGTAAAGTGCTGTTGATATACCTTATTCACAGGGAAGATATATATATATATACATATACATGTATTACCTTGTTCCCTGAATCTATCATATTCAGTGTAATCTATTAAAGAAGGTGGTGCTAGACTATTCTTCGGTTCCAAGCCTCAGGCTGCGTCTGAATCTGCTGTCTAGAGATAGGTCTAGGTCTTCACTCCATTAGACATATGTGGAGACGTGCAGACAGTAGACCTAGCCATAGCCCTAGAAGCCCATTTCAGACACTGGTGTTTTTTTATTTCAAATTATTCTGTACAAAAACTGGCATAAATTTGTATGAACCTTATTTCATAGCTGTTAGTTACTCTCAGGTTCCAAAAATGAAAACTTTTTGCTCATTTTCAAATCAAGATGGCCGACACGTGAATACAGTATATTGACAGTTTATTTATAGACTGATCTAAATCTGTAAATGTGCCAAACCTTGTTGAGGCTAACTTTGTGCTGAAGTGGCTTCCTACTTTGTTTACTTTCTTTACCTCAGTTGCAAACTTCTACCTCCCAACACAGACAGAGCAGAATCTGTAAAATATTCATTTAAAAAAATTCTTTGATCAAAAGTGATATGTATTGATTTTTTTTAATACCAATGAAAGTTTGGGTAAATTTATCTTTTTGCTGCTACCTCCACTCACATCTACATATTTGCAAATGTGGGCATCCTTTTTTAACAGCCATGTTTCATAGTCTGCTTAGGTCAGTTAAGTTGAGCTCGCGGTCAACGGACAGGCTTATTATGTAAAGCTCAGCTAAACTCCACTGACCAATAAAACTTCAGGGCTGACATAGATTATGCAAATTTTATTCGTGCATTGGCTGCGTCAAGCAGATTCACATCTCAGGGTTCCCGTAGCAACATTCTCTCAATCTTTCATGTGTGTGTGTGAGAATGTTTTTCTGATTGGTGGAAGTTATCATGTGAGACAATGTCTGACCTGTCAGATGGTGTCTTTTACGGAATCAGTGAAATCTAAAACATAGACTACACATCCCTGTGCAAATACCATTATTTTTTTTTTATTCCACATGAAAATGAAGGCAAAACTGATTGCATATGAAAGGACTGAGTGATTATTTTTTTCTGACAAAGGTGAATTAATCAAAGTTCCTGCAAGAACATGTTATTATGCTCATTGCACCAATCTTCATTTTACTCCCTGTAATAATTCTAGTATACATACTACTTAGCACAAACTGGAGAGTTTGCCTGGCAAGTTCAAGGTAAAGTTCAGAGTATCAGTTACAAACTTTCATTTCTTTGTGTGGGGGACCTTATATTTTAATTTCAGGATCTAAACAGTACTTTATATGTGCCTTATATTACTTGAGTTTGTTCGAATGCAATTAATGAAGTGAAATCAACTCATGTTATTTTTGTGTTTAGCGATTAACAGCAGTTGTTTGTCGTGGTATTAACCTGCATTATCTCACTGGGGAAGGTAATGTTGGGAATGGAACTGTCCAACCGTGTGTTTGATCCAATGGAAACCCACCAGAGATACATGGTTCACAGACATGCTACACATGTACCAGAGTATTCTATAAAGCCACACCTTATTGGCCAATATTTAATAGTGTTTTGACCAATCAAAATCCTCTCTTTATCCACTTCTATATACTTTAAGAGGTTTCCAACTCTTTAGAGACTTCAACTCCTTTGTGTTGAATTAAATTCAGACATCTCATTAAATTCTTGCCAAATTGCCCTCATTTTAAAATTTTTAGACAACCCACCCGCAAAACAATTTTTAAATGATGTAAGTGTAGATTGAGTTTTTTTTTTATTTTACTAAATATTGAAAATTACAGTTTATTTACCTCAAGCTGGATTTTCTGGTTTATGAACGTGCCAATGTGACAATATTGTACACGTACATGTAAAAAAAGACAACTTGTGTATGGTTCTGTGTAACAGACATTGTGTTGTATAAACTCTGCAAGGTTTCTTTCTTTGCCTTTTTTTTCTGTAGCATGTCAAATATCTAGTAGAGGTTTCTGTAATCAGACTTGAATCAGCTTTCAGATCGATTTGTATTTTTGTTTTTTTAATGAATACAGAAATGTTGGGTTATTTTTCATGTGGTGTTATTTTCCTTTGGTGTTATTTTCCTATTAGTTTATGATGGTGTCTTGAGTTTAAATCAGTCATTAGCCATGTCCAGCCTGTTTGCATGAAGTTCCATGTTAGATGGAGGGATGTATTGTGATTGATTTGGTGTACAGTTGTTCCGAAATTCAAAGAATGGTAAAATTCAGTGTGCGTCGAATTGTGGGTTTGCACATTGAGGTATAATTGAATTGTCTCATTCATGGAGGTAATGAAATACGTTACAGCACAAATGAATTGAATAGTATTAAAAGATATTAAATTTTTTTTTGGGGGGGGGACATAGTGAACAACTTTTTGCCAACTTTTTGCCCTGATCTATCAAGAAAGAGTAGACTAGAAAGTGGTCCAATGAGGTTCCTTGTTATATGTTTTAAAGATGGCAATTATCAATGAATTTAATTGGATAGGTGTTCCTCTCCAGCATGTGAAGCAACAAAACACTTTTTCTGCCTCGTATTGTTAAAACCCTTGGTTTTCACAGTTTGATCGGGGGCCTTTGTTTGCGAGGCAATTTAAACATTTGAGTGAAAAGTTTGAAGGATAGAAAAGTAAAATTTGTCAAACAATGGCACTGTGTCACCATATTGTAAAGTCCAGGTAGATCAAAGAAAAAAATGTGCTTCACGTAGGTTTAGAACTATAAAATAAAAGGATTCGTGTACATAATTAATGTGGGTTTTTAAGCATCATAACTTTTTTGATATAGCTTCATAAACTAAAAATATACAAAAATATATATATGTTAATGATATGAAAAAAAAAACAATTTTAAGCATTGCATGCAGGAACTTGGCTTTCCATGTTATATTTTATAGTGAAGTATTTTGTGAAAGCTTGCTATAAGTCTCAGGGGTTTGGAAGCCAGTTTCTGTTGATGCTCTTAAAGGTTGAAGGTCGGCAGTGTGTGGCCTGAAAGGTCAGATGTCGCGACCTCATTAGTGTTGTAACAAGGATGCCATTGCATTGGTGCGATCCAAATCACAATCGTGTGAAGAGATGTTTAATTGTGCATGTGTGGCCACTTGTCTTTTCCCTGTTTATGAATTTTAAAAATTGTCTACTGGTTGCAGATACGTGTCTTTAAGGGGAACCCTGTAAAACAAGGTGCAGAGTATTTCTGTCAAATTTGAGAATTTCTATTCCTGGGGAAAAAAAGCCAATTTGATGTCGAAAGTTAACCCCTAAAGGCAGCAGATTACAACTTGACCTGTAAAATGTGCAACAAATGGATTCAAAACTACATCATCAGGTTTTTAAAAGTAAAAAATCAAAAGATCAAATGTTGTCCTATGTAGTGTTTATGTGTTAAGAAAATAACAAATATGCAAGTTTGTTTTTCAGAAAACTTGGTACGTGTAAGTGTTGTACAGCAACTTAGACCTGTGTAATAGGCGTGGGCATTTCCAATGATATGCAAATTGTTATCAGTGTTGTATAGATGGTAAGTGTTCATGGGTCAGGAAATGAATATTCTGTATGAATATTCAATGTTTAGATTTAATGTTGATGTTTTTCACGGGGTAATACACGTATGGTGTGAATATTCATAAAAATGCAGATTTCAAGTCACCAATAGGAACATTAGTGCTGTGCGTAAACTCTGACTGAGTTTCTTCGAGAGCCACTCAGGATTAAGTTGTGATTTGCATTGAAATTCCAAGATGAATATTGATGTTATGTCCTCCGTGAGATTTTGTGATAAAAAACAATGCCTTCAGTCAGTTCGGAATAAAAATACGTGTTTGAGTGTTCACGAAACGTAATTACTACCTCACTTGATCACTGTCTTAAAGCATTTTATCCAGGTTATTGAAGAAAGCTCAGTTTACAAAGCTGTTTACTGGAATTTAAGCAGGTTTATCAGAAACAATGCGTGATGAAACTGGATTAAGAATGTTACTGGCCAGGGTTTCTTTGCACTGCCCAAGTTTCTTCCACTTTGGTAAAAAGTAAATGAAATGTACAGTTGTTTGAGATGTGATTGGCAAACAGAAAATGAAGGAAAATGTGTAAATTTGAGAATGAAAACTTAAACTCAGGGTTCGCTTTCTTCAGTTTTTGTTACATAGTCGTAGAATAAAAGCACAGATGTAGATTAAGTTTACCCATCCATTTACTGTGAAAAAAATTTCTCTCTGAAAAGAAATTAAGCATTTTAGATAATTTTCTCTTATTGTATACTTGTATATTGTCAAGAAAGATTTCGAGTCTAATTTTCTGTTGTGAGTTAATGCTTTTTATGGGTTGGATCACGGAAGATATCACGGACGTAGGTATTGTAGTGAAGTACAGTAGGCTAAAGCAGAATTATGAATATAATTAAATAAAATTGAAAATATCTTGAACAAAGATGGCGTGGCGTGTGTCCCCTTTTCTTGGACGTTTGTACAAGTTCGCAACCACTGCAGTGCGTGCTGTGTGAATTGCGCATGCCTGAATGGTAGAAGTTAGAGCAAAGACTTATTTCGTCGTGCGTGGGGTATGGCTGTAGAATAACTTTAATTTATCCACTCTGGCATCATTATCGACAAGAATTAAGCAACCCTTGACACGCAAAGAAGTGACGGACTGGTGGGGCAAATTTCATCCAACTTGGTCAGCGCAACTTGGTGATACAAGGCGCGGACCCGAATGCTATACATCAGGTTGAGCCCACTTTGTACTTGACGCCCTAGCCGCGCCGCGGTGGCGGCGATAGTGTCCCGCCGCCTCCCGATGGACACTGATGACTGATTCCTGTGGAAAAAAACATATACGCCCCTTGATGATATTTTTGCTTCGAGTCGTATATCATTAGAGGAGAACGAATTACAGTACAAATTTCATTTCATCCCAAAGTGTGGGATTCTTAAAAGAAAAGATTGAGGAATGTCAGTGTTGGTGTAGTTGGAACCAAAAACTTGATTCGATGTACTTCAACCGAAGGTAAGTTTTTCAGTGTCATTTTTCACTATTTGTTTCTCCCTCAGATTTATAAGAATGGAACAAGATACACATGTTCAGTAAAGCTTGTTTTGTCAAAGCAATGGGGAAATTCGAGAACTGTCCCAAGAGGGTAAAGCCGCAATAATCAACTCCAGACTGTAGTTCAAAATGTTTTCCTAGCTGTAAACCTCCCTTTGCGCGCGCCCTAGCTGGCTAGAATTAGGGGTGTAAAACTACGATTGGCACGAGATGGCGCTATTCATTTTTACCGTGGCCCGCGCCTAGCGCCTGCGCCTGAGATGAGTCCGTGGCCCGGCCGGTCCGTTGCATGCTGCGTACACATTATGCTAATGCCTTGTGCGTACACAGCCAGGGTGTGTGTTCACGCACGCAGTCATGAAATATTTATGACTCATCCGATCGTGTCGTGTGCATGCTTTGCATAGCAATCAAGATAACAGAATGCTTCCTTCAAAGTCCTACTGATTCTCCACTTTCGTAACAGCCCTTCGATAGCTCAGTTGGTAGAGCGGTGGACTGTAGAATGTGAGGTAACTGAGATCCATAGGTCGCTGGTTCGAATCCGGCTCGAAGGATTGATAATTTTTTGTCTGATATGGTATTTATTGATTTCTTTTCTTTTTTTTTAAGACGAATGACATACCTTTTATTTTAAAAAAAATGCACCATTTCTTTCTAAGTGCTTTTTGGCGGGGTTGCAGTTTCAGTGAAGTTTTTTAAATAGCTTAGTGACTTTCAGACACAGAAAGTAGGCCTAATGCTAAAAATTATACGGAATGTTCCTTTTACCCAATCTAGTAGCTCCCCCCTCCCCCAAAAAACAAAACAAAACACGCCAGGCAGGGATGAATCTTTTGTTATAAAGCATATCTATAATGGAGACAATCAAAATCAGTCAAATTGATTGACATAATATCATTTCCTGTCACATTTTTATTGACTGACATAAAATTGAAGGCTTCAATAAATGTTGGGGGATTATATGATCTTTTTTTAAGGATGGGGAACTTCTCTTGATAATTAGCAAAAGATAATGGATTACTGAAAAGTGTACATAGTCTAGCATTTTGTTTTCTAGAGATACCATGTAAAAATTGGTCAAAATGGTCATGGAAGAAAAAGATGTTGTTTTGCGTCATTTTAAACAAGGCACAAATCATTCATTGAATTTACTATTTGTAACATAACATAAAGCAGATTAATTCTTAATTGCATGAATTCAAAACAAACTGTCAAACATTTAATTGATTTCTTTTTATCCGAGCTGTTCATAAATTATTTGCCAAGTCAAAGAGATTATGATATCCGTGTTGATATTTTAAGTTACGTTGCAAAAGATCTGCTGTTCCTTTTGTAACAGTTCTCTTGATCTCATATGCAAAACCTTCGAACAAAATGTAAACCCTATTCAGTGCTAAATCGATCAACAGTTAAGGGTTGAGGACAGAGTTAAAAATGAGGTGGTTTACCTAATTTTGACAAAAAGTTACTGGTTTGGAAAACATGTCAACTGGTCCACCTGTCTCAGCGTAGCAGTTGGGTCAAAGTCTGTGGCACAGATATCCCAGCTAAATGTCACAGTGCCACCAACTGCAGCAAGTTTGCAGGGGACATTCTGACTATGGGGGAACGAGCTTGGTACTTAAACCTTGTCTTGTTGACAAGGGCTGACCACATCTTGTCAAGTTGTAATTCTATCAGGGCCCCCCTTTGTTAATTCTGCTGTTCTCATGTTTTATGGACCTTAAGGGGTTAGTGGGGGGAAAAAGGGTAAAACCAACTTGCTTCTTTATGGGAAATTCTCAAGAATATCCTTTTTTCTCAATTTTTTCTTGGTAAGAAATTCCAGACAGGGTCAGCAGTATACAAAAGGCTTTTCTTTTTCCTTGTAGTTAGAGTCAAAAATAAGGGTTGGTTGAAAATGAGAACTACAGAATCAACTATAGATATCCTTAGACTAGGACCAACATACATGTACAAGATTTTTTGGCATCGCTTAGTACTATTATCCAAGCATTACAATCACAGTCAGTCAGGGAAAAACAATCTTTATTTCACATTCCAACCACTTTAGCCTTTTAACTTGGAAGATGCGAGTGTGTTAATGCACGTTGCATAAATCTTCATCAGTTGATCTAAGGAATGCAAAGCCGATCTAAAATTGTGCGGTAGATTAGTCTTTGATCAAGTCTGCAAGGACATCATGTCTACTGCAACCTTAACATTATCTGCGTGAAATTGTTAAATAGCCTGAACACAGGCTGATGTAACAGACTATGCAAAGTGGCCACTGTTAACATGGAAGACAGTTATTACATAGGAAATCTTTCAAGATATTATCTGAGGTGAAAAGATGGGGGCGCATTTAGCTCTTCACTTCACAAGGTTGTGTATGAACTAGCAGACTTAGAAATATCACCAGTTGTCAGGTGTTGACCTTTACTCATTCACCCACAATGGCGGATCCATGAGGGCCCCTGGTGCCACCCACCAGTCCCCAATTTTTTTTCGAAGGACAAAAGGCAACTCCCCCCACAAGGTTACTTGAAACAGTTCCAATTTTGGACCCCCCCCAAAAAAAGGTTGTTTCACCCTTGTGCACCTAACCTCATCCAAACAACCAGCACAAGACAAGTACCACTTTTGGGCAGTGGCCCACCTCAACATTCATAAAAATGTGGCTTCTCCTATTATGGATGAGTCGGGGCACACAACACCAGTTTTGGCATAGTATCCAACATAGACAATAACCAAGCCCAGCTTTTCTTTCTCTGCAAACGTCTACCTCAGGTTCATTCCTCTGGGTTTTTTAGCTGCCAAGTATTTTTCTTCAGATATTTTTCTAGGAAACTGAAAAATCAGGAATTCACAAACTACAGACCGTCTAGGTAAATATTCAAGAAGCAAAAAACCTACACCCCAATAATTTGTCTTCAGTTAACCTAGTGACAGGTGCACCTTTAAGTGAAATAATCAAAACACCAGTCGAAGTACAGGACTCGTGGTCTCAATACCAAATCTTAATTCAATATACCAATGAAACTCCTTAGAACTGCAACCTGGCTTACTCTTCATAGAAACGGAACCAATATACAATACCTTTATTCCTTTCTTATTTTCATTTTTTTGTTTATGATTGCAGCAATTGTTACGGGAATAAATATGTGCTTGACCAGTCTTAAACAGCTTTTTAAGACCGGCTCAGGAGAATGGATGCGACTAACGCCCAAGCTGCAGGCAGGAACATTATCAGTGGTCAGTCTTCTTGTTTAAGACCGGCCAAGCACATAGTTATTCCCATTCATAAACACCTTTTTAGTCAGAGAGTCAAACAAAAGTCGATACGTGATGGATTTCCGGCGATTTTGTTCTAGAATTTAACTTTCATTTTTCCAAACACCTCCATCAATTTTATGGAATAATAATTGTGCAAATTGTCCAATAGGCAGGCGCATGGCGAGCCGTGTGCACACAGACTAGTGACCAATCAGAATCGATTAAACTGTCTGGTATCCAGGTGCCAGCGCATGATTTACACAGCAGCCATCATCACTTCTTATTATCAAATGTTAATACAAGGTCAAGTTGCAGATTGTAGTAGAGGGAGACTGTCTGAGGTATTTATGAATTAAGAATAACAATGTGATGGCTCAATTTACAAGCGTAAAACAATCCAAGAACAAAGTCACCCGAAATTTGATGTTGCATAATGTAATTTGTACTGAGCAAACCATGTTCCACCATCTACAAATAACATAGTACTGAGAAATATCTGTGTATATACATGTATTATGAAATCCGGTTGAATGTGCCTGTTTCCTTTAAGACACTCAACCAGTTACAGGCAGTGGCATAACTAGGGCTAAAAGTGGGGGGGGGCCACCTGGGGGTGCGGCTCACCTAGGGGTGCACACGTTTTTTTTCACAAGAAACAAAGCTGCAGCTACGTAGCTATATAAACTCAATGGAGATTATACACAGATTGCAAATGAGGGGGCACCCGGGAGACATGGGCATCTGAAGGGGGGGCATCTGTCCTCCCCTCCCTTCCCCCCATAGTTACGCCACTGGTTCAAGGTTTCCACACTGCTGTTATACACTTTAGCCCCACAAAAGTCAAAGGTAAACAAGTTCCAAGTTACCAATGTCATCTTGCTCTAGGGTCAAGAAAGTGGGCGTTACACCATGCAAGTGCAGAAAAGAATGAACGAACAATTATTTGTGAGAATGCGAATATTCTATCAACTGCATTTCAAAAGTAACAAGTGTTCACTAGTCAAAAACATGCAAGAAAGTGGCAATAACCGAAATTGTCACATCTCTGTCTTGATATTTTTTTTTTTTACATCGTCCCAAACAGTTACGTGACGGGGTGACATAACTGCATGTCACACTCACTGTTAGACATCACAGTAGAGCTGCATGTGTGCACACCCAGGCACAGATGCACACATCCCCCACAGTGGACAGGATTATACAGGGATCATTACCTGCCACTGTTCAAAGGTTTCTTAGTCACTTTAATTTCCTTTAAATAAGAAAAACAAGTGAAAAACATCCAGACAGAGATATGACCAACCAAATCCTGACTGCTGTGATGTAGGATATGGTGTTTTGAACACCCCCCGGGGATGCGCAATGCACCCTTGGCTTCGCCTCAGAAGCTATGGGTCCCTCCGCATTTCAAAACATCATACCCCACATCAAAGCAGTCAACAATACCAGGCCATTCACAATAGCGTGCCTCCAAGCATTTGCAACATGGTGGCCGATCACAATGCACGAAGTCTGTCGACCCTTCCCAAATGCGCATTGGGTCGACAGATTTCGTGCATTGTGATTGGTCAACGCGTGGCAAACTCTTAGAGGCATACTATTGTGAAAAGCCCATGTTGTTAAATATGTACCGTTAACTCACAAATGACTGAAATCCTGCATGGGTGAACCAAGGTACCCATTGCAAAACCCTGTAAATATATCAATAAGTACTAATCTAATGAACACTGGGAAATCCTTATGGATTGCAATTAAATACAGGAAAAAAATAAAAACAAAATTTTATCCTAAATTAGATATCAAAGGCGAGAAAAGCAAAAGCATGTAATTTAACCAGTCACCTCATCCATTTCCCCTATAAATTTATATGAAAAAAATGTTAGCTTAGCAGACACTTTTTAGGCTTACAACTATAAAACACATTTTCAGGTAACACTGTTCATAAAACAAAACTGGTATTGAACTGCATAGAAAATATTTCTCATCTCTTAAAAATTTTGCGTATTGAAATTTTCATAGGATTTACTCCTATTTTAAGAAAAGAAATCATTTATAATTTATCATCAGTTGTATTATGTACAGATTATGTACTGCTGTGCGTAGAATCTGGTGTACTCTCAGTGCCATTGCCACTGTTTCCCTGGTTCCCAGTTTCAGTGGTTCCAACATTTTGGACTCCATTAGTACTGCTCTCTTGGTTCCCGCTTTCGCTGGTTCCCAGCTTAAAGTGCACCTGCTTGGGCGGCATGTTTGCCCTCTGGTTCTTTGCCCTCTGCTGCGACTGCCTCCGTTCCGCCGCAGCACGCTTCTCCTGATCGTTCGGGAGGGCGCTCTCCGGGACGTATGTCCCTGTCACCAGCATCCCGATGGCGTCATTGACAAATGCAGGCAGGTGGCTGGCTATCCAGTCCAGGACGAGGGCCGGCGGCCCACACAAGTAGTGCGCCCGAGGGCTCTTGGCGAAGAGGGCGTGCGCGACCGCCACGCTGACGGGTGAGAAGTCCTCCAGGAACCGGAAGTCATCCGAGGTGTACATGGAGCCAAGGGCTGTGGTGAAGTAGCGCTTGCCGTAGTCGTCGGCTATCTTTGGATCCAGTGCTGCAAGCAGTTGCTGGTACCTTGTTATGAACTGGGTGCCCACCACAGCTTCTGTAATCACACAGATGTCATAGAAACTTTTTGAAATGATTACATGTAATGTCTCTTTTAATGTTCAAGTCCAGAGGGATCGATTGCAATCAACTGAGCCATCAGTGTTAACCACACACCATGGACAACTTGGAACATAAGCCTAATGTGTGAGAGAGTGTGGGCAGGGCCTTTACCCCGGGGACAGTCTCTTGTTTTATAGGCAAAGTAGGACCGAGTTGTGGGGACATTTCCCTGTCCTCACAGCATTTTTTGTCCCTGCAGAAAGGGAGAAATAATGTGTACTTGTCCCTACAACTACGAAACAAGTTTGCTGCACATACATGTACCTGCAAATCATAATTTGTAGTAGAGTTTCCACAACAACTTTGTTCACCGCGTGCATGTACGCGATACGTGGACTGCAGGTGTACATACAGTCGTGAACATGTAGCTGAATCATGCACAGTATGAAGATTGCGCTCAAATTTGACATGGGTTAGAGTATGGCATATCACAAACAGGCCAAAAGGACACACCTACTGGTGGATAGCACATATTTAAAATAGTTGTTCTTGTTCAAGGCTTGAAATGAACATGATGTTCAACAGATGCAGCCTCGATTGGACAAAACTGGATGATGCTTGTAAGCAGCGACAGGTTATAATCATCCTGATGTGCAGTTGGTAAATGTGAGGAAAATTCAATCAGAAACAGCTATTAATAAATCTGGTGAGAATTTTTTTTCCTCGTTTGGCAGCTGAAAGACGAGAGGATTTTTAATGTATTTTGCACATGCTGCTGTATTTTTCGGAGCATCATTTCCATTATCATTTTGTCTGTGTCATTTTTGTCTAGTGCAATCAGTACTGATACTGCACTCAAACTTGCTTTGCGAATGTGCTTCAAATTGAAAATATTTGGAAGAATCCGTGCCATTTTATTTTGTGATGTGATTTTGACTTTTTTACTTTTGAACACATTCAAATTTATTAAAAAAATACTGGCAATAGGAAGCATCTGTTACGTACCGATAACAATTGTATCGTCACAGATTTTGGATTGTTTAATGAACACATCATTATTCCACTTGAAGTGAAACTGAGATTTTGACAAAAGCACAAGCGGGTTAGGCTGGTTCCCTCATCAAGGTCTTGAGTACGACGTTAGTTACAGGGAAACTTGTCCCCTCAGCTGTCATTGGCCCAGGGTGCATCCGTGTTAACCAATGTAAATCAATAAACAGTAGACGGGACCACCAAAACTGTTAGCCTCCTTCATCTATCCCTGTTGCTAAGCCATACACTGCACTCTCTAACTTGTGCATGGCTCTGCTGTTCCAGGAAACAAACTTACGCGTCTTGAATCCACCCGGCTGTATGATGGAAACGTCGATGCCCCATTTCTTCAGCTCCATCCTCAGGACATTGGAGAAGCCCAGGGCCGCCGCCTTGGAGCTGCAGTACGCTGGGAAGCTCGGCGTGGCTACTTTATCTGCAAAGTTTACACGCACACATGAAAGATTGAGCTTACGATCATGGTATCAAATCGGAGTCCGCGCATGTAGCCTCATCAGGCAACCAGAATTCGAGGCCATTGCTGTGATGTCTCCTCGCTAGCAGACAGTTGACACACACGTATTAAATACCTCTTCGACCAACAGACTTCTGTGACCGGCTGTCAGTTTTTGGTCGTCGTCGTTTGATCGTTAACTTGGTTATCGTTAAGATCAGGGCAGACTTGAAGTCCATGCAGCCTAGATATGTCTCACGGCATATCAAACGTTAAAATCTGTCATCTTGGAGGTAGGGAAGTGCAAGTGCCATGCCACAGCTGTAATGGCACCTCCTCAGAGTGGTCTAAATGTACCTTTTTTGACCACCCTCCCTCGGAAAAAGGCCGTATTGTGAGAATGGCATATCCATTTTTCAAAAAATTGGTATCAAAATGATCACAAAAGCATCACCTGAAAAACTTCTAAAATACTAGGATAAAGAACAGATGCCCCATTAGAGAATGTGTCAAGGGAGAAGGCAGATTCCATCCTTCCCCACCTCTTTTAGGGTTACATTAACTTACCACACATGCTGGTTACATTCACAATTCTCCCCCTTGACTTCCTCAGCAAAGGCAAGAATGTCTTGACCATCCGGAAGTGACCCAGGCAGTTGACCTCCCACATCTTTTTGAAGGCCTCCACCGTCGTGATCTCCGCCTCTCCGTACAGGCAGACACCTGCATTGTTGACCATGCCCCATAATTCTGGAAATTGGTTGGAGAACAAAAGGGAATGTAAAAAGCACATCAACGTTTGAAGTCAACATGGCAAAAGTTTCTAAATGACAGATCCAACAATTCTGTAACCAGATCCCACAAAATTTGTCTAAAACTATGTAACAAAGCTATATTTTGAATTTTTTTTTCATTAGGAAGAGCAAACAGATCTCCGTGTTATTGTGCATGAACTGTATCTTTCAGTATAACATCCAGATGAAAAGGATGTTAGGTAGGCGGAAAATGCTGAGGGTGCCAACTGATTTACATTGTGCAAGATGCCTTTCCTTTGAGAGGCCTTCATTAAAAAGTGGCTCTGGCAACTCCCATGCATTTTGTTGGCTTACGGTGGGTTGCATTACCGGTACAGTAAGAAATGAGCCCCGAGCTGGACCAAGAGAGGGTGCAATATTCCTAGCAACACATGCTCCTTTGGTAGGGAACTGCACTTCAATGGTTCACAAGGACTATGAAATGCACACACTGCGGCCGCATCGCTACCAATAAAATGAGCACTCCCCACCAACTTGCTGGTGAACAAGCGGAGAGGAGTCCTCACTCCAAGACAAGCCGCCTCCTCTTTCGTCTTTATTTACACAAAGTCCAACATGTGATCCATTGACAGGAAATGGTCTGAATTGAAAACTTGCCTTTCCTTGTATGCACGCACTGATTTCAAATTGGGAACAGCCAAACATGGCAAGGGGACAAGGGAAATGTGACTGCCCTTTACTCTGCTGGCTGCGTGTGGGCTACAGCGCCCTCTTTAGATCATGCACAAAGTCACTTATCACAAGCATATCTGGAAAGGATCACCACGCCTCCTCACTGATCCGTCACAGGGTCATTCAGTCTCAGTCAAGTCACAGACTTCAAATGAATAGTGACAGATGCATCACTCTGAACTGGTGTCTTGACTCGTTAATACTCCATGCTTGACATGTGATTCGACTTGTGGTGGACTGAACTGCAGAACTGTACGCTAGACCATGAATATATGCAAAGTGTGCACCTCTGCTTTGGGAGGATTTTCCACCATCTCTGGCTTTGCCTGATTTTAACTCTGAAGGAGTTAGATTACGAGTCATATTTTGTTAACAGACTGTCAAAACTACAGTATGTACAAGCTTTCGGTCCAAAGAACGAAGTATTTTCATTTAATCTGAATATCATAGGTATACAAGCGGTTTTGACATTAGAGACAAGGCCCGAGACAGAGGCAAAACCAAGTGTTGGAAAATCCCCAGGTTGCTAATGGCAAAGTTTGTACAGCCACGTCTGAATTACTTGGCCGCGGCTTGCAACTGTGCACAACCCTATGGGAAGTGACAGAAGCCATTACCACAGACATGTGCGTAATTTCAAGCCGCAGCCAAGTCACCCAGACATCGTAGCCAATTTCTTACCTCGTCCGTTCAGGAGATCCTTCACAATCTCTAAAGCCTCTTGTATCTGCTCCTGGTCGGTCACGTCTAACTCTATTGTCGTCAGCCGGCTGGAGCTGTTAGCCACGAGGTCCCGCTCGCCGGTGCCGTTTTTGTCATAGCAGCAGGCAAACACGTGAGCACCCAGGCTGTCTAGGTGCAAAGCGGTGGCATGGCCTAGACCCGTGTCACAGCCTACGGGTACAAAACCAAAATTGGCTGATAAAATCCTTTAGGTTCCCTACCCTTGTCTCCAGTAGAAAAATCATAAAAGAACAGTATTTCCATACTAAATATTATACAGGCCTTTCTTTCACATTGTGATTCACAATGCAGTGTGCCACCAAGAAGTTGTCAAGGAGAGGGCTATTTGCAGAGCATTATGGAACAAATAGTCGACAAAATATCTTTTGTTAGCTGCACTGTGCATGGGAAACTTCAATTTTTTGGATTGTTTATCTTGGTCGATTTTTCAATGTATTCAAAGATTTCAATCTTCTGGTACACAGTCACAAATGAAAAAAGGGACATGATCCCTCAGTTGAAGCCTTTTCTCCCTTGTTCTTCCAGAGAGTGGAGACGAAGCTCTCTAACCCCTCACCACAACTACACCAGACATTCAACGACACAATGTAAATTTAGCACCCCACACAAAATACACAGCATTTCACAGATCCTTCACTCTTCAAGCTTGACAATCGTTCACGACTATTCCTGTCTCGGCCAAAGTTGGTATCTTGAAAACCACCACAGAGGGGGTTAGCCACAAACACGTTCTATTTCAAGCCTCCTGAGCTATTTTCGGAGCAGGGATGGATCCAGCTACGGTCGAACTTGACCACAGAAGCTATTTCAAGGTAATTCTCCAGACTTGTTCTCTCTGTCCCCCCTTCCCTCCTACATCTGTTGGCTCACCTTCATTTCCGATCGACCCACATACTAAAATTAAATCAACTCTGCTCTACTGTTATTTAAAGGGACCCATCCAATTTTTCTTCTCTAATAATGTGCCCATCCATAATATTTTCTATTGGTATCTGTATATTTGCTGGGATACCCTCTTGTAATCCTTAATTTATGTTAAGTGACCAGGGGCAGGTTTGAGACAGTTTTTCATGGACTTAAACCAAAGAAATGTTGTCTGCTAGCAGATGTAAATTTATAAAAGCATTTGGAAAAAAGTGTGAGAATGAACCCAATAAAATCTTATTTTCACTTTTAAAAATGGATTAAATTGTTGAAATAAAATACAGCAAATCAGACTATTGGGGTGAGAATTATAAATATTCAAAAAGCTGACCAAATGGCGAAACGAGCTTTAACATTTTACTTCAAGAATACCAACTTGAAAAAATACTTCAAACTTTAAAGACCAGTATTTCAGGAAACTGTTGGCAGGCTTGACCTATTTTAAGGAAAACAAACAAGCGTGTGTGTTCACTGGGTACCAGAACAATAGGAAGTACCCCACAAGGAACATTCATTGTCCTTGTGGGGTTCTTAACGGTACACTACAAGAATTTCACAAAATGGGATTTGAAATTGACTCAAAAAGGAAGGAATTTTCAAGGTATATTTTTCCATTGCATATTGAAGCATTTCACATAAGGGACATCAGGTCAAAATTATCCAATGGAAGCGACTTTGATACCTCGCTTTACATGCTATTTTTTTTTATTACACGAGAACAAAGGAAATGCCCCATAAGAATACAGATGTAGTGTGGGTCAACTTGTGCTAAAGAAATCTACAAGGTTATAAGAGCAGACTTGGTTTGATGGAATAGGCATTAAAGTGCAGACATCCAGGCACCTTTTTTGAGTGCCAAATGATGTTTACAGTTCTTTTTTTATTTAAATCTTAAAGATTCGTAGGTCACAAGTCTGAGTGGAAAATTACAGCTGTGCACATAATTGCTAACCCACCTCACAAAAACCCCTGCCATGCTTAAAAATGATCGTACAGCCATGAAACTCGGGTAAAAAGCGGTAGAGAGCCTGGATGGCATTAAAGTCTTATCATCCCAAAAAGTTCCGCAGATAGTTGCTTGATTGCATGTCCAACTAGATTTCCCCAGATGCATGTGTGTGCATTTCTGGGATACCTTTGTCATCTGCCAAGCCCCTCGATCCCTGTGTCATTAATGCATAGTTGGCCGAGAATGTCTAACTGTACATCGCCCTCTGGCATTATGTGATCGGTGCATCTAATCCATGATCTAATCTGACATCAATTCATGAAAGGGTTCATGTACTGTAATGTAATGGACTGCATGAATAATGTGTCTTCCTTAAAAGAGTATGTCATGCAAAGAGGTTTCACCTCCAATTCTGTGCACTAAACAAAAATTCTTATTTATTTTTCTTACTGTTTTGGGGCTATTTCCTCAGGAAAATGCATGTGTATGGGTCAACAGCTGAAATAATAAGAACATACCGGGGGGGTGGCATAGTATACAAATATTGACTGCTTCGAGTGGTATAGTAAAACTAGCTCCCCGAGGTGATCCATGGAGCATTGTATTTTCCCAAGGCAAAGCCAAGGGCAAATAGAATGCTCCATGGATCACCTAGGAGGCTAGTTTTACTGTACCACGAGATCAGGCAGTCAATATTTGTTTTATAACACCTCCCCACAGATTCTGCAAAATTTCAGCTAAAAATCAATAATAAAACACCAAACAGGAATTTACATTCATCAAATTTAGTTTAAGATTTCCAAGCGGAATAGCAATGTTTGAATACATTCATTAACTGATGTTGTTCGCTATGAGCCGAAATACACGCCTAAGCTTTTGTTGCTACAGATATATATGTACATGTAGTTCTTTGGTTGCTATGGGTTTAGTTCTTTTTCAGAATGAGGCTGCATGGTATTCTCTTTTTGAAGCAGTGGTATAACATGAGTAAAACTAGCAAGCGTCACATGACACACTTTTGGCCAATCAAGATACAGAATCTGTGGGCGAGGTGTTATAATAATAATGTGTAGCATTTTAATAGGTCAACAAACCACAGTGGTGCCTCCTGTTTCCCAAGCTACCCTGTTTTTATGAAAGAACACTAAAGCTTTTTTTGGGGGGGGTCGGGAGTTTGGGAAAATTTAACATTGTAAATAATGAAATATCTATTTAGTTTTAGGTGCAAAAGGATTTATTGGATATGCATGCAACTACATGTGCACAGTGGTACCCTTTAAAGTGTTGCTTACTTTATTCAAACAAATGCCACCTAACCTCTCTTGCTCTTAGTTTTAAACGGTTCACACTCAGCTGCAATGAATCTGCATTAAAAAGTGCCCGTTCCTTTCTATATTTCTACCTACCTATCTTGTTTTTACATGTCACGTAATGGAAAGCGGAACTTGTTTTCTTGCCCTTACGCAAAGTGTCTTGAGTGTCTTTCCAAATGTGAATGGCTGAACCTAGCTATTCATCAGGGTCATGTGATTAGAAAAGTGCAATCTGTTTTCAACTCTCCCAGGTACCCATTTACAGTCCTGGGTGCCAACCAGATGGTAACTGCAGTAAACTTTCTTTCCAAAGAACTCAAATGCCAGAATCCCTCTCAGATTGCAAATACCACCCTGCACAAGCCAGACACTGTACCACTGTATGGTACCACTGCATAACATATACATGTACATCTGTGCATGCAATGCCTTTCTTTCCAGCTGTTCTCCAAGCAACACTTGGACAATCATGTAATTATCTTGGTCATTTCTATTCTGCAGCTCGAAAAGTTTGACCCCTGCAGCAAGGATTCAGTGTATATTCAACTAATAGTGCTTTAGTACAATCAAACCTCGTTAGTAAGAGCACTGTAAACACAAGATTCTGCTTATAACAAGAAAACGTTTAGGCCCTGATCATTTGTTTTTTATTGCTTTTATTCCTGATGATGTAGGGTTTCTGTCAAGTCCACAGAACCTGTTATTAAAGAGGTGAGACTGTATCAGTGTGTGTGTGTAAGAGTCCCCACGCTCAGGGAGTCTGAAATCGCAATGTGCCTTCACGATGTTAATGCTGATTGGCCAGTTCTTAACTACATGCACGAGCAGAGCACAGTGCCTGTTCATGTGCATGCATGGATTATTAGATGAACTGACCCTAACTCAGTAGGTTTTCAAACTTTTTATCAAGTGCTAAAGATATTGCCAAGTTGCAATTTTAATCTATAAATGTTTTTCACTGACGTACATGTACATGTAAACTAAGTCTGCAAATATACTGCCAATACTATGGGACTCTCAGTGAGGGTATTGAGTTATTACATACCTGTACATGTATGTACCGGTACATGTTAACTGTTGCAGACATTGACATTTTAATATTGTACATGTACATGTCTAGTTTACTGCAAAACTATAATTTGCACTTAAATATTTGTGATACACCGACACGTGGCCCTTTAGTCAAGTGTCGCAAACCCCTAGCTGTCAGGCAATTTCAACCAAGTCTCACATTCACCCGCTTATTCAAGCCACAGAGGCGACTTGCAAATGGCATGCGATTATAGCCATCGCCAATACCGGATGCAAGACCGGTAATGTAGTGTGAGAATTTCAAATTGCATTACACAGCTAGCTGCGGGCGCATGCAATACGGTGTGAATGCACCACATCAGAAAGTATCTGAGGGATACTTGCATGTTTGTGTGACTGGTAATAAATTCGGGAGACATTAATATCTTTCAATCGATCAACTTCCCTGAATCCCTGACAGTTAAAGTATGCGGGGACAAACACAAACGGGTTATTTTGACGAGGTAAAAAATAACATTATCCCCCTTGTCTGGAAAATGTGACATGTTGAAGGAATGCCCGCTTTTAAATGTTCAACCATCGGCTGATGCGCAGGGCCTCATCTGTCATTTCAATTCGGAAAGGCGTTCATGACACTTCTTCATAACTCGGAGAAGATGACTCCAGTTGGCTCAGGGACAGTTCTAATCAGCCTTCTGGACCCCTCCCCCAGAAAATGGTCATTTACATGTAGCCCCAGTCAACAAAACTGCAACATATTTTCATTCACACAGAACAAATTATCCGCCAAAAAATAAATGATCATGGACAAAATGAAGGCTTTTTCTATTTAAGTACGGGAGTTCAAGGCTTCAAGCACGTGCCACAGAAGTGAGACTACTATTCAAATTCTGTTTTGCAGTGTTAAATTCTACAGAAAGAACATCCTCAGC